TTTCTTTCTTTCTTTCTTTCTTTCTTTCTTTCTTTCTTTCTTTCTTTTTGCTTGAGATCATTTCCATAGATTCGACAGAGATTGTGGACTGATGTTAAAATCCTAGATGGCATTAACAGAGGGATAGAATCAAGATCACATGAAGTGTTAGTACCACTTTATCATGCCTTGGTGAAACCACACTGCATCCAGTTTTGGTCTCCACAATATAAAAAAAGACGTTGAGACTCTGGAAAGAGTGCAGAGAAGAGCAAGAAAGATGATTAAGAGGATGGAGGCTAAAGCATATAAAGAACAGTTGCAGGAATTGGGTATGTCTAATCTAATAAAAAGAAGGAGTAGGGGAGACACGAGAGCAGTGTTCCAATATTTGAGGGGCTGCCACAAAGAAGAGGGAGTCAAGCTATTTTCCAAAGCACCAGAAGGCAAGACAAGCAGTGAATGGATCTAAACTAACCAAGGAGAGAACCAACCCAGAAATAAGGAGAAATTTCCTGACAGTGAGAACAATTAACCAGGTTGCCTTCAGAAGTTCATATTTATTTATGTTCAATTTATGTTCAATTTGTTGACTGTCCTCAAATTATGCTTGGAATTCGGCTCTATTGTGGCTCAGCATTGCTTTCGTACAGGAAATGTGTGTTTCTTAGGTTAGGATTTTCAAAATGAGAAGCCGAAAAGATCCAGTGGCTTTAATGCCACTTAAGTATTTAAACCTGGATTTACAGCAAAATAGACTAACTTCCTTTGGGTATATCCCACAGGCTGGAACCAAGACGGTGTGATCCATGCGGCAGGTATAAAAACAGATCCTGGCCAGCAGAAGCAGGAAGATGGGGTGACCATAGCCCCAGAGGATATAATGCCTTTTTTACAGTGCTACTGTTCCGGTCACTGTCCAGAAAATGCCATTAATAACACGTGCAAGTAAGTATTGCCGACAGAACAAAGACCAAGTGAGGTGAGAGGCTTCGAAATCCTTTGCCCTCCCTAGTTCTTCACTCCCTGTACATTGGTGATTAAATAATTGCTTTCTTATTTTGAAACATTTCAGAAATTTCAAGATATAACATTTCAACACGTTAGAAGCTTTTGAACAGCGCAGTTCACAAAAGTAAAACGTTGTGATTTGGCCATCCTAGACTTGCTGTTTTTTACTGCCCTCTAGTGGTCACATGTATATCAACTCTCCCGGTATTGAACGTGTAGTGCGGAAACCATCAGTGAACGCACATTTCAAATGCATCATAATTCTGAAGGCATACAAAGTGGTTGTTCCTATAGAGGATTGAAATCCAAATTTTACATTAGAAAAATGCCTTTCTATTCCCATAACTTCTTCTAATTCTATTTTCTGTTTTTCTGTTAAATTTTTAGTCATTAATTTAGCTTTCTTCCTATTAATTTTGAGTCCTGCTACTACTCCAAATTGTTCTAATTCATTCATCAATTTTTGTCCTCTTTCTATTGGTTCCTCAATGAAAAAAATCATATCGTCCGCAAACGCTTGCAACTTATATTCTTCTTTCTTAACCTTTAATCCTTTTATATCTGGGTTCTGTCTAATTCGCATTAATAATGTTTCTAATGATAATATGAAGAGCACGGGTGAGAGTGGGCAGCCCTGTCTGACTCCTTTTTCTATTTTCATTGGGCGGGTACATTCCCCGTTTATTATAATATTAGCCTGTTGTGTATCATAAATGGTTGTTATAATGTTTTCAAATTTGGTGCCTAAATTCATATTATAAATTTTTTGGATTAAAAATTGCCAATTTAAATTGTCAAAGGCCTTCTCTGCATCTAAAATCATAAGTGCAATTTGTTTTTCAGGGTGGGCTTCATAAAATTCTAAGACATCTAGTACTATTCTTAAGTTGTTCCTAATTTGTCTGGTTGGGAGAAATCCATTTTGATCTTCAAGTATATGCACGTTTAACATTCTTTTTAGTCTACTTGCTATAATAGAAGTAAATATTTTTTAGTCAGTGTTTAACAGTGAAATCGGCCTATAATTGTTTATATATCGGGGATCCGAATCCTCCTTCGGGATCAGCGAAATCAATGCCCCCCTCCATGAGTCCAGCATCCTTGCTGCCAATAAGACATCATTAAAAACTTCCACCATAAGAGGTCCAATTTGTTCTGCAATTGCCTTGTACAGCTCCCCTGGAATCCCATCTGGCCCCGGGGCTTTATTGTTTTTCTGGTTCTCTATTGTTGATTTCAATTCCAACCAAGTGATGTCTTTGTTTAATAGTTCTACCATTTCTTCCCCAATTGCTTTATCCTTCACTTCATCTAAATAGTTTCTTATTCTATCCTCATTAACTTCTTCCTTTTTATATAACTCTTCAAAATACTTATGGGCAATTTCTTTTTTCTGTTCTATCTCCTGTTGTATATCCCCCTTTCCATCTATTAGCTGGTATATCAGTCTCTTTTCTTTCCTTTTTTTTTAGTTTGTAAGATAGCCATCTTCCTGGCTTATTAGCATGCTCAAAATAAGTTTGTCAAGTCGTATTCAAATTTATAGTCATTTTCTCTTGTTCAGTTAAATTCAATTTATGTTTAGCTATTATTATCTGATTTTGCAATTTTGAATCCTTTGGGGTACTCTGTAATTGAATTTCTAGTTCCTTAATTTTTTGTTGTAATTTATTTTGCTGAGCATATTTTTCCTTATTCCTCTTGGCATTATAAGAGATTGTTATACCTCTTATTACTGCCTTCATTGTGTCCCAAATGTTTTGTTTAATATATTGAATGACTCCTCTCATCCGGGACATCAGCTCTTTGAACTATTACCATCGAGAAGGAGATTTAGAGTATTAAGAACAAGGACGACCACATTTAAGAACAGTTTTTATCCAAGTGCAGTTTTGAGTTTGAATGCAGGGTCATAAGATTTTTGTGGAATTAAATGGCTGAGAGTAATGGGGTATTTACATTTTTAAATTGCATAGAGATGATTGTATGGTTGGTTGTGTTTAGTTTAATTTTTTTTCTTTTTAGTGGTGTTTGTCCAGTTTTTACTTTGTGGAAGAGCACCTCATTTCGTTGCACCCGCTTGCGAGTGTAATGACAAATAAATTCTTATGTCTTATGTCTTATGTCTTGTTTCGTAGTTACTCCATTATCATTTTCCTTTAAGAAATAATTTAATTCCTCCTTGAGTTTGTTAGTATATTCTTTTTCTTTTATTAATTGAGTATTTAACGTCCATCTTTTCTTTGGTTTTTCCCTACCCTTCCATATTATCTGAATTGGATTATGGTCTGCCCATTCATTAGGTAAAATTTCAATCCCTTTTATCTCATTTGCTATTTCCCCATTCATCCATGCCATGTCAATTCGTGTCCATATTTGATGCGGATTTGAGTAGAATGTGAATTTTTTTTCCTCGGGATGTAATCTTCTCCATATATCAATCAAATTTAACTCGTTCATCATTTCCCTACATATCTTGGGAAGCTCTCTTTTCCCCCCTTTATTCTTCCCCCCATTACTGTGGTCTTTTTGATAATCAGCAATAGAGTTGAAATCTCCTATGATACAAATATTTCTTTTTTCCAGTCCTATTATTTTTCCATAAAGATGCTTAAAAAACTCTTTTTGATCTCTGTTCAGGGCGTAGATTACCACTAAGAGAATTGGGATAGCATTAATCCAGATCTGCAAAACCAGAGTTCTTCCCTCAGAATCTGACCATATTAAATCTGCTTTCAAATCCTCTTTAACATATACTGCAATCCCTTTCTTTTTTCCCATGTCTGCTGGTGCGGTAAATAGCTTCCCTAATTTCGGACATTCCAGGTGTTTTTCATCTGTTTTCTTTATATGAGTTTCTTGTAGGCATATTATATCAGCATTTTGTTTGATTAGTTTAGCTAATATCCTCTTCCTTTTTATCGTCGAATTTAAACCATTTATATTAATTGATAGTAGTTTCTTTTCTTCCATTTAATTAATTCTGTTTCGCTCTTTGTCTTGTAATGACTCCAGTCTCTCCTTGTGCCTGAAGATGTGTAGTTTCTTCTCTCTCCTGATGTAAATGAGTATTTCCTTGATTTCCTAAAGTTCCGTCTTTATTTTTGTGATAACCTTGATCTTTCTGGGAGTTTGTTTCCAGTTCCTCCTTACTGCTCTGGTCTTCCGGACCTACCAGCCGCTCATAGAATTCCTAGGCCTTTTCCATGGAGTCTATTTTAATTTTCCTTTCGTTCCAAGACACTAACATCCCCTCTGGGATTAGCCATTTAAATGCGATTCTTTTCTGATTTAAATAAGCTGCTAAGAACTTGTAGTCTTGCCTTTGTTCTCTTACTCTTCTTGGTATTTGTTTGAGAATCAAGACTTCTTTACCTTTGTACATGATTGTTTCATCTCTGGACATCCTATATATAATATTCCGGACACTCCTTCTTGTAAATCGTATATGGACTTCTCTTGGGCATTTATGGCATCTCGCATAGTTAGTGCTAACCCTATAAACTTCATCAAACTCCCTTAAGATGTCATCTTTATCCTTTTCCAATAATCCAGCCAGTATTTCCGCCATTAATTGTTCCAGGTCTTCTTCTTTGGATTCCACTACATTTTGGAATCTCAAGTATGTAGCCACCTTGTCCATCTCTAGGTAGACCAGTGAGTCCTCCATTTCTTTACTCGCATTCTTTAATTCTTCATCTACCCTTTCTAATTTCCTTTCAGTTCATTCAGTCCTTTTCTCTACCTCTTTTATTGTTGCTTCATTTTTCTCCAAGGCCTGCTGTAATATTCCAACTTTGTCCTCTACTTTAGAGATGTCCGCTTTCATTTCTGCTTTTAATTTCCCCATCTCCTCTTTTAGTTCATTGATATCTGCTCTCGTCTCGTTATGGTTTTTCATCATTGTTTCTTGCAGCTTCGTCATCAATTCCTGTAAAGTCAGCAAAATTGATTGGATGTTGGCATTCGAGATGTTAGCTTGTTTCTCCACTGGTGATGTTTCTTCTATGGTTTTTTGTGCCAACTTAGTTGTTAATGTAGGGGTGGCCTTTCTTCCAGTTTTCAGAGCTGTAGTAGTTGTGGAAGTCATTTCTTTTAAGATTTGTTTCTGTTGATGAACTATATTAATTATATTATCCCAAATTAACATTCAGTGATATAATCTCTGTATTAGGATTGACCAGTATCTAATTACTTAATCTATCTATCTGCTGGGTAGCTGTGTTCTTAACTGGTTACTGGAGTATATATATTATTTTACATCCAAATTCTAAATCACATATATAATTTTGTAAGGTCTGTGCTCAACCTCTATACTTCAGTTCATGTAATAAATATATATATAATAAATATTATATCAAATCCAACTATATTTAAATATTATAAATATATATGTGTATTTATCTAGCCTTATCTTAAATATTAAATACTCTTAAACACAAACAATATTACATTCGTCCCAAGTAGATTAATTGCGGTCACACAATAAATTGTAATATTAATATATGAAACCCTGTACTAATTAATTAAATAGTACTTAATGTCCTTACTATTTGTGATAAAGTGATAAAGAAAGCTAAATACTTAGGAATATGGTTGACAGCACATTGTAAGACACTTAAGGAAAATAATTATGATAAATTGTTGCAACACGTAAAGAAGGATTTAGAAACATGGGGTAAGCTGCAACTTTCATTATTAGGCAGTATCGCTGCCATTAAAATGAATATTCTTCCAAAATTTCTATATCTATTTCAGACGATCCCAATTAAAGTACACAAATTTTTTTTTTTTGAAGAACTTAATAAAATAACTGTTAAATTTATTTGGCAAGGGAAAAAACCTAGAATAAATTTAAAGGCAATGCAGGATATGAAGAGCAGGGGAGGGCTGGCACTTCCAAATTGGGAGTTTTATTATATTGCTGCCTCTTTAGTATGGTTGAAAGAATGGGTGAATTTAACTAACAAGAGAATATTATTTTTAGAAGGCCATGATTTGCAACGGGGGTAGCATGCTTTTTTATGGGATGTAGGGAAAACTAGCCAGAAATATTTCCATAGACACCTAATCAGAGACTCATTATTAACTAATTGGAAAAAAATACAGAAAAAACATTATTTAAAAGTACCAATTTGGATTTCAACAACGGAGGCGATGATTCACCCAAATAATCTGGATATTACTAAAATGATTAAATATAAGGACCTATTGGATACACAAGGAAATTTGAAATCGCGGCAAGAACTTCAAGAACGGGGACTAAATTGACCAGTGGGCATACCTTCAAATTCAAAGTAGACATAAACAGGACAACAAAGAATTCGGAATCAACAATAAACTCCAGCAATTAGATAAAAGTTTATTAGGATGAGACAAAAAATATAACAAAATTTTATAATTATTTATTAGAAGTAGAATTAGAAGAAGAAATTGTAAAAGGGAACATGATAGCCTGGAGTAGGAATGTAGGACATAGCATCACTCTAACAGAATGGGAAAAGGTCTGGGGTAGAAATAATAAGATTACAAAATCGGTAGCATATAAAGAAAATGCCTATAAAATGTTTTATAGATGGCACCTTCCTCCGAGATTAGCGAAGATGCACCCCAATATGAGTCCGAATTGCTGGAAATGCAAAAAAAAAGAGGGAACTTTTTTCCATATGTGGTGGTCCTGTACAGAAGCTCAAAAATATTGGCAGAAAATTAGAAATTGGCTGGAAGAAATGACAAGAGAACAGATCGAATACAAACCAGAGTCCTTTTTGTTAGGGATCTTTGATAAACAAATATCAAAAAAAGCGAAATACACAATAATACACATTTTGACAGCGGCCAGATTAGCTTTTGCCCAATGTTGGAAGCAGCCTCATGTTCCATCAGAGGAGATGATCATTCAAAAAATTTCAAGTTGTGCAGAAATGGACAAATTAACTTTGGCATTAAAAAATAAAGACACCTCAATATACTACAACAGCTGGAACTGCTGGTACAAATGGATAGACCAAAGATAGACTTTACACTATAAGGCAAAAGAAGATAGGATAAATTCATAGTAGTGATACACAGATATATGTAAGGATTAGGTGTGTGTATATGGCAGAAATTAAGGGGGGGGGGAAAGAGGTCTTACAAACTGTTGAAGATGAGAATGTTTTTAATTGTTTTCTATTTTTTCTATTTTCTTCTCCCTTTCTTCTCTCTTTTTTTTTTCATTTGTGTATGTCTAGTCGGTTTGTTTTAATTGTAAAATCAATAAAATTTATTTATAAAAAAAGAAAAATGCCTTTCTAAATGCCAACTCTGCGATAGGAAAACAGCTTGTATGTTTTGTGCTCTGTAACTATGGACTGTTCTTTAAGAAAAAAGAAAAATCTATTGGGCCAGCTTCATGCCACATAATGGACTCCCAGACCAGTTATTTTTGCAGTCATAGGACTGGTTTGTGTTGTGTGTGTGTTTGTGTGTGTGTGTAAATAAAATGGATCAGTATTTCTACTTGCCACTCTGTTCAATATTTTCTATTTGCAGCTAATTTCATTTCCCATCAGAGTAGCATGAACTCATAGTGTTAGAACAGGGGTTCCTGTTAAGGTAATGAAGATTTAATAGCTGACCAGCTACTGTAAGGCTATAAGCCAAGATGATGAGGGTACTGCCAAGATGATGAGGGTACTGCCGCTTTAAGAAGCTGTCTATATAAGGGAGGCCATGTGAGGGCGTCTCTCCCTCTCCTCATGTTCTATTTCCATTGTAGCTCTCCATGTAGAGTTGAAGATTGATTGCTTGTCTGGTGTTTGCCTAACACGTGTATATATGTATATAGTAGTCTTATATATAAACCACTGTTAAAAGACAAAGCCTCTGTGTCCTGTGTTTTACTCCTGGGTTGTCTTACAATAGGAGTCCCACTGTAAACACTCTGACAGTTCCCAACCAGGGGGGGGTGCAAGATGATATTTCAGAGGGTGCAAAAACTTAGGTTTAGAAGATTCAAAATTATAGACTGTGCATAATTATATGCATATAATTATTTACTTTTGTAAGGGGTGCGGAAATATATCAGAAGCGTTCTTGGGTGCGGGGTATAGCACAGGTCGGGAACCCCTTTGTTAGAAGGAGAAAAATAACATTGTTTACTGAACAGGCTGGCTGAACGCAGCTTTCAAAGGACTGGAGCTAGTTCATCTGTTTTTCAGAACTAACGGACATTGTTTTGCCATCATTGAGGAAGACGAAAATGGAGAAAAAACCCTCTCTTCCGGCTGCATGAAATACGAAGGTTCAGACTTCCAATGCAAGGTACCCCATGGCTGAGTCTCGTTAAGCAGTTTTCAGAAATAAAGAAGGGGGAGCCATCGCTATTCGTGTTCAGAGTTTTTGCAGCGTGAATTCAGCTCCACAAAAATAAACACAGATGGCTGATGCTTCATTTAACTTCTTTATAAACATATACAGTAAATTTTACAATACCAGTTGTAGATTTCTCGAACATGGAGCAAACTGAAACAGCAGCAAACATGTTACAAGTTCAGAGCTTCAGCAGAAACTCGGGAGCTCAGAAACAGACATCAGTTTCACTTTAGTTCAGCAGGCAAGCAAGACACACACAGCAGAGGAGAGAAGCAGTTTCATTTTCAATAGACAAATTCTGAGCTCAACAGAGCTCCAGAGCTTAATACAGAGCCATGCCTAGGCTAATTCTAGTTTCAGTTTCCAAACAGTCCTCATTGGCTGACTTAGTTGCTATGCCTATCCATTGGCTGACCTTGTTACCAAGCTCTATTCCAGTTCATGAATATACTCTTGACAGTTTGCTTTCCCTAAATCTGCTTATCAGTTTTTTGTTCAAACCTAAGCTGCTCGCTGTATAGGGCTGCATATTGATTTTTCGAAAAAGCTTTAAAAGGTTGTCACTGTTGTCGAAAATAGTCTGGAAGTCGAGTTTGTGGCAACTGGATTTATTTCCTTGTTGGTTTGAGAACGTTTCTCTGGCCCTCGAAGCAGCTTCTTCAGTCTGAATCAGTTGGTTAGGGGAATCTGAGTAGGCAAATGGTCATGGGAAGAATGTGCCAGCTCCTAAAATTCTTATTAATAAATGAATATTTATTAATATTCCTGCAAATCTTCCTGCACCAACCTCAGAGTTTCTTCCCCCAAAGTGACTGGCAATATGTTGACGAAGAATCTCAGCCCTCCAGGTCGAATTGTCTGGAAGTTGAGTCATTTGTTTGGCTGCAAGTCACACTTAACCCACAACAATTTACTTAAATGACCACAGCAGAGCCGATGATGTGAGTCCTGCATGTTTCATTTATGGACCGTGTCACTTAGTAGCTGCTGGCCCCAATTGCAGTCAGTAAGTGAGGACCAGGGCTGGGCTGCTGGAGGTTTGCAAGGGTTTGGGGAAGTCCCTAGCTAAAATTCTGTGCAGTTTGGAGAACCCCCAAGTCCCACTCCTGGCTGGCCCCGCCCACCCCTCCCCTCCCAGGAGGCCTGTTTTGGATGCAGGTAGGCTCGGGGAGGGAAAAATATGGGCCTCCCGGAAGTTCGGGAAGGCTGGAAATGGGCCCGTTTTCAGCTTCCATAGAGCCTCCGGAGCCTAGAGAGCCTTTCGTTCTTCCGGAGGCTCGAGAAAAGCCTCCGGAGCCCGGGGAGGGCAAACACCCCCCCCTGCCACGGTGCAGGAGGCCAACTAGGCCACGCCCACCCAGCAACCAGGCAGAGAACCCCTTGCTAAAAATTTTGAAGCTCACCCCTGGTGAGGACTATATGAGAGACCACCAAGCAATACGAGGTCTCCTGCAGACTAGTCTGAGAAGTTGGGGAAAGTTCCAGAACAAGGAGATGACAAACCCCATCCATGTTGCGGTTCAGAAGCCCATCGTGATATTCGCATGAGGTCTTCCAGTCCTTTAGCTTAACTCAGAGGGAAACAACTTTATTGTGCATGAAGAAAGCCAGGCGGGATCAAATAGGTAGCTCTCGAAATGTCCCCGAGAAGATTGTCTATGTTCACTAAGTAGAAAATGCCAAATGCTAGAGGGATACATAGGAAATAAACATAAATTTAAAAATGGAAAATCGAATGGGGCATCTAAGGTGAGAGCCGTGGTGGCCCAGTGGTTAGAATGCAGAATTGCAGGCTGATTCTACCCACAGCTGGGAGTTCGATCCTCACTGGCTCAAGGTTGACTCATCCTTCCAAGGTCAGTAAAATGAGGACCCAGATGGTTGGGGGCAATGTGCTGACTCTGTAAAACCATTCAGAAAGTGTTGTGTTGTAGAACACTGTGAAGTGGTACCTAAGTCGTAAGTGCCATTGCTAGGTGAAGGTCACAGCTATGGCTACCTGACCTTCACACCCCAACCTTTTGTGGCAGATCTCATTTCTTTATTTTAAATATTGTTTGGAAAGCAACAATCTACATAAATGCCTGCTTTCCAGTTCTTCGTTGTAGATCCTGGAACATGTGTACATGGTTGTGAAAATACCTATGATTAGCTGGTGGTCCAATGCAATTACTTTCTTGTGGCCTGACCATTAGTGATCCCTCTACCAAATCGTCTGGTTTTGACCTGTCTCAGAATTAGATGTGATACTGGAAAGAATTGTATCAGTGGGGATGGAAGGATTTCCCCTTGTGCAATTGTGCGGCTGATCTGCAAACTATTAAACATATTGTGCAAGATTGCCCATGAAGTACGTTCTCTGGTTCCTTAAAAGATTTACACGAAGTAATGTCAGAGGCCATCGCCTGGGCAGCTGAATTGGACATTCAGTTATGAGACCACTGCCATACCCCCTGTAGAGTTTTACTCATAATCACGCAGACTATGTATATATGGGTATGTTTGCTTCACTTCTGCCATGTTCTCATCATTCTCTAAATACTAATAACTGATGTGTAACTGTTTTGTGTATAGCTAAGTGCTTCAGCACTGCTTCAGTGTCCAATTTCTTCTGTAGGATTCCCGAGTTGTTTTACGACGCCGTACCATTGAATGTTGCCGGACCGACTTCTGCAATCAAGATCTGCAGCCCACTCTACCCCCTACTTCAAAAAGTACCATGCTTGTTGATATATTCAGTGGGTGGGATCCCTGGGGCGGTGGGCGTTTGCGTGAACATTTTACCCATCTATTTTTCAACCTTGCTCTATCACCCAAGTAGCTGATATCCAAGCAACAGAAGACTTAGCAATGTGGACATCAATTAGTTCTGAGCATTGTAAAACATAGTATAAAACTCTGGGGGAAGGTAACACTGTTTATTTGCATAGACATCAAATCAGGTGCTAGGCAGATTGCCCTGTTTCAAAAAATTTCAATTTAGAGCTCTTCATCTTCTTAATTATAATCTCTGGGGAGTAAGATACCAGTGGAATAACAATAGAACCACAGATGATGACATTCCACATAAAGTTTGCACACACAACAACTATTGCAAAATTGCATTACTGAAGGTAGATGGCAATAAGATTTGTCTAAATCTTGTCTGATATTTTCTGTGAGAGAGTTCTGCATTTAATTATGATTACATTAATGCAGTGTTTCTTAACCTTGACAGTTTTTAAGATGTGTGGACTTCAAGTCCCAGAATTCTGTAAGCAGCTATGCTGAGGAATTCTAGAAGTGTGAAGTCCACACATCTTAAGGAGACCAAGGTTGAGAAATTCTATGTTAATATTTATTTATTTATTGTTTGTTTGTTTGTTCGTTTAGTTAACCTGTTTGATGGCAGCATACGTTGGATAGCTGTGCTTATTTGCATGGCAGTCTGCATAATTGCCATGATTGCCCTCTTTGGCTGCTTCTGCTACAGGTAAATCATGTTGGATATTTACAGCTTTAATGTGTTGCATTAAAACAGGATAGACTGGAAGTTTTAAATGCAGTTTAGAGTTGAACCCAATTTGATTTGCATCACTTTGGGTGGTTACCGTATTTGCCGGCGTATAAGACGACTTTTTTGCCCTGAAAAAGATGCCTCCAATTGGGGGGGTCGTCTTATATGCCGGGTCGTCTTATACGCCGGCAAATAGTAATTGGGAAGCACTGCGGCTGCCTGCGGATGAGGCACTTTTGCGCACCGTGGAAACGAATCCCGTGAAGCCAAAAGGAGCAGCCAGCCTTCTCCCAGCTCCCAAGGAAACGAGGCTCGCACCGCCCGAGCTCCGCTGAGGTATCCGGCTGGGGCTGTCAGGAGTTGTTACCGCTGGCGCGGCTCCGCGCGGCTCCAGTCCCGCGTTGCCTCGGGAAGGAAAAGGCAAAACCAGGAGCCGCTGCTGCCATTGCAAAGCGCCGCCGCGGCTCTTCCTTTTTGCCTTTCCCTTCCTGAGGCAACGCGGGACTGGAGCCGCGCGGAGCCGCGCCAGCGGTAACAACTCCTGACAGCCCCAGCCGGATACCTCAGCGGAGCCCGGGCGGTGCGAGCCTCGTTTCCTTGGGAGCTGGGAGAAGGCTGGCTGCTCCTTTCAGCTTCACGGGATTCGTTTCCACGGTAGACAAAAGTGCCTCAAAAAAAAAAAAAGTGCAAAAGTGGAAGGCGTGCGGAAGAGGGGGCGAGTATATAACAAACTATATTTTGAGTGGAAATGTTGGGGGGTCGTCTTATACGCCGGGTCGTCTTATACGCCGGCATATACGGTAAATGTGTAGAAAATTGTATAAAGTGGCATAATACTCAGGACCTCCCATTGCACAGTCTGTAGTGGAATGTGGGAGAAACTTTCAAGATTCGTGGTCTTATTTGTGCTGGATATAAAATATTTTAATGATTTGATACCTGTATTTGCCTATCTGCACATTTAATGTTTATGGTTAATATATTCCTTTACATCGTATAATCTTATATGGGATCCTGAAGATATTTACAGAAAAACTAGGATGATTAAAATTCATCTAATTTAGCTTAAATTGTTTAGCTTGATCTAAATTAAATAACTTCATAGTAAGACGAAGAAAATATATTTTATATGATATTATATTATTATCCAGAGATAGAAATTACCGATTGAATGTTGAACTCACTTGTATCACTTATACGTAAACCCTCCATTCAAGGTGAGGCACAAATTCTCTGTTCAGTTATTCAGTTCTGTTTCAGGTAGATAATGATCGCATAAAATGAACAATTAGGAAATTACTTACTAATGTTCGAATCTCGCTTGCGTAAATATCTCTCTAAGATGTTTGGCAGTTGCAGCTTTAAATAGCTGTCTATTTGAAAAGTACGTTTGCATTTGCTCGGCCATTTCACATTAAGAGACAGGTACCTCCATCTATATACCAAATGAATGACTTATTAGGACCCCCATATCAAAACAACTTACCGTATGTGCGGCCAGAATCTGAAAATAACATTTAACACAGCACAGAACTTAAGCAAAATGGTTCGGTTGAGATTGGCATATGTGGGACTGATTGGGGTAGATTGTAGGGGTGACACTGAAATATAGTTTTATCACATTTTATTTATCTATATATGAAATTATTATTTTTTTCCAATTTCATTTTAAAATGTATTTTATTTCAATTTCATTTTAAGTTGGGTTTATCAGATTTTAGTAATAACTTGTGTCTAGAACTGCACTTTGATGTGGCCTAAGAGCTAATCAATAAAGTAAACTAAAAAAAAAACACCTTACTAATGTAAACATGGAGGAAGTCTGTGGCATACGATTTTGAAATTACTTTTGACAAATCAGAATTGCGTGAATTTGAATCTCTTTTTTCTCCAGACATTACTGCAAAGGGGTAACAAAGAGACGACGTTATAATCGTGATTTGGAGCAGGATGAGGCCTTCATCCCAGCTGGGGAATCATTAAAGGATCTTATTGACCAGTCGATCAGCTCTGGAAGTGGTTCAGGACTGCCTCTGTTGGTAAGCTCCTGGTTTAGGAGTTACATGATTTATAGCAGACTTGTCCAAGTTTCTGTGTCCAGGCATGAAGGTTCCATTTAACCGATTTTATCAATTTAACTTATTTCTTTTGCTAATAACCCATGTACAGGAATCTTCTCAACTAACAATCAGCACCTAGTTAGATCTAGATAAAATTCAACAGCACTCAAAGCAGTTGGACTTAGTATGTTTCTGGCTACGTAGGGATCCCTCTTTACACTCCCATCCCTGGCTCTGTCATTCCTTCTCCTACAGCCTAAGGCATTCTTGAAGAGAAAAGCAAGCAAAATTAATTTACCATGTTTCCCCGAAAATAAGACCCTGTCTTACATTTTTTGCTACAAAAAAGGCACCAGGTCTTATTTTCGGGGGATGTCATCCACTAACTAACCTCACTTGCGCGCATCGCTCCCGGCCTCCTTTTCGCTGTCAGAGGCCTTCAGGAACTTCTTCTGCAGCCGGCAAGGCTTTCCTGAAGGCCCCTGCAGCCGATAACAGAGCTCCGGATCGATCCAGAGCTTTGTTCTCAGCTCCAGAGGCCTTCAGGAAAGCCTTTCCAGCCTTGCTGGCTGTAGAAGAAATGTGCTGGCAAAGCAGGTGTCAGGACGTGCGAGGCCTGGCTACAACTGTCCAAAGGTAAGTAGTAGGACAGCTCCATCACCACCCCCATCCACCACCCTAGCTTAATTTTTACCTGTGCACTCTGGAGTGGGCGGGATCTTAATTAGGGCTTGTTTTGGGGGGGTTGGGCTTATATTGGGCGCACATGTAATAAATCAAACTAGGACTTACTTTCAGGGTAGGTCATATTTTCAGGAAAACAGGGTAGTTCAAGAATTTCAGTTGCTTCCCTTCAAAAAGCACTTGTTGGGTCCGTTTTCCGATGGCCCAGGAAGTTGTCGTGGAAGGGTAAAGAAACAGCATTACTTTTGGGTGAGGTTGCAGCTTGTGCTGTTGTTCCTCAATCGGTGATGCAACAGAACAGAAAAAAAGGGGGCGGAGAATTTCGGTTGCTACAATATTGTTCAATCCTGTGCTTTTCAGCTATTACATGCTTTAAGACAGGAGTATCGAATTCAAGGCCCACAGGCTGGATTTGGCCCACAGGGTGTTTAAATATGGCCCGGAGGGCCGGCCTGGAAGTAGTAAAGGACCGGTCCACGGTGTCTCTGCTAGTGAAAATGGGGCACAGGGGGACTGCCTGTGGGCCCCCCGTACCCTGTTTGAGTGGGCAGGTCGCTATAAGAGTGTGTCCGTCCCATTTCTCATCTCTTCCCGGCCCGGCCCGCAGGGAACAACTACAATGCTGATCTGGCCCTCCAAGAAATCCAGTTGGATCCCCCCTGCTTTAATGTAAAAATTAGCTGTTTTTGAACAAACCTTTTAAATGCCTAATCTATGAAATCCTCAAAGAGGTCATTACCTTTTTAGTTCACATCCTTTTTAATGATGATGATGATGATGTTGATGTCAACTCATAAAACATTTTGTATACACGTTTTATAGTTGACAACAGAAAGAAGGGGAGGGAGTTTCAAAGAGCAGGCAGCAGTGTGGAATTGAAAGTACATTCCATTCATGTTTTCTTCAAAGACTGATTAGATGACTGAAGCTTCTGCCGGGGCAAAAATCTAATTGGAGAGCATGATTGATGACTCTTGGCTATGGATGTGTTTCATTGGATGATACACCCAGAGGGGTGGGGGGGAAAGCAGGGTTGAGGGTGACAGTGAATTACGTATCTCAGAGTCGTCTACGCCCAGGCTAATGCCGGCATGTTAACTTCTAATAAATCCCTTTTATAGTTTTGGAAGTGTGGCTCGAGGCTCATGATTTAATTAGAGTAACTGCCTGGAATCCTGACAGTTAAAACGTTTCATCAGCAGCTTGAGAATCCTCAGGTGCCTTTCTCCCTCTCCCCCTTTTGTCAGGTGCAACGGACGATCGCCAAACAGATTCAGATGATCCAGCAGGTTGGAAAAGGGAGGTACGGTGAAGTTTGGATGGGTAAATGGAGAGGGGAAAAGGTGGCCGTGAAAGTGTTCTCCACCCCCGAAGAAGCCAGCTGGTTTCGGGAAACAGAGATTTACCAGACAGTTCTTATGCGCCATGAAAATATACTTGGTAAGTAAAGAGGCTCACACTGTGATTGTGTTTTGTCATGGAAAGGATTTCATACATAATGCGATGTTTCTAGCAGAATATGAAAAGATGACAAAAACGTTTTCTCCAACACTTTCTTGAGTGTTTTTCTTTCTTTTTCTTTTTCTTTTTTACTGAATTCCATTTGCATTGTTAGTTGTTACGGCTTTGAAACGTTTTCTCCAGTAAAGTGAAAATTGGATGAGATGAAAATCCCTCACCTCGCCTGCTATATTCCTAAAATTCAGAGTGAGCCAATGTATTCCATTGGATTTGCAGCTAGTCGAGTGTGTAAATTTCTCTATAAACTTGTTGGGGAAAAAAAACAAGTACACCCCATTTACATTTTTTTTTTTAGCTTTTCAACTTATTATTAGCATACAAATGTTAGTTCTTCATTTTGATCATATTGATAAGGGGGAATATAATGTAACAGAAGATCATGCCACATTTACAATTTGCGTTCCAATCTGTAATTTAAATAAACGTAACTGCACAATTTCACCTGCGGAAAAAGTAAGCGCGCTCCTACATTGATCACTAGCTCAGATACCTAAAATTAAAATCAAGTGCACCAGATCAGCTGCAAACATGAAGCCGAACTGAAAGTGGACCTTGCAATACAACAAGGACACTAAACATTTCAATAAATGCATTAAGGAACGGCTGAAAAAAGAATGGAAAGGGGAAAGGAAAGGGAAAGAAAGGGAAAGAAAGGGAAAAAGAGAGGAAGGAGAAAGAAAAGGGAAGGAAGGAAAGGAAGGAAGGAAGCAAGGAAGGAAGGTCTCCAGTGGCCATGTCAAAACCCAGATTTAAATCCCATTGAGATGCTACGAGGTGATTTAAAACTGGCTAGGCATGCAAGCAATCCCTCAAAAGATGCATTGCTGAAAAAAAATCATCTTAGTCAAGAGATTGGTAGACAGTGAGGAGGAATGCCTATTTGAGGTTGTTTCTGCCATGAGACCAGGAATTAGAGCCAAAGGCATACTTAAATTTTTCCACAGGAGGATTTGTGGAAAATCTGTTCATTTTTGGTGAAATCAATGGTTGCAAATGTCAAATTTTTCATACTACTGTTGGGCACTCACATTACCCTTACAGAGTGTTTCAATTAAGATAACATTTTGATATGTCCAAAAGGGGAAGGAGGGGAGAGAAAACCCTTCATATTTTACTTTTTTCACCTGACTGTTAACATTAGCAAACCCGGAACCACCACGATGGAAAACATACATCAGAAACTCAGAAATGAGGGGGGGGGGGGATGAGCCGCCTTAAAATGAATCAGCAGTCATTGCTAGGGGCAACATTTGGCTTTTATTCTCCTCAAAGCTGAATAACTGGATTTGGGTGACAGCTCCCTGAGTGAAGACGCCTGCCTCGTGTCTCCAAAATGCTTTTTAAATATATTCATTATTCATCTCTAAATTTGCTTTCCGTTGAATGATTAATGGGAAGCACTTAAACCCCTCCCCCCATTCTGTTCCCAATTCTGCAGGGTTCATCGCAGCAGACATTAAAGGCACAGGCTCCTGGACTCATCTCTACCTGATCACCGATTACCACGAAAAGGGATCCTTGTATGATTTCCTGCAGTACACCACGCTGGACAACAGAGCGTTGTTGAAACTGGCTTATTCTGCCGCGTGTGGCCTCTGCCACCTGCACACGGAAATCTATGGGACTCAAGGGAAGCCTGCTATTGCCCACAGAGACCTGAAGAGCAAAAACATTTTGATCAAGAGGAACGGGTCCTGCTGCATTGCAGATTTGGGCCTCGCTGTCAAATTTAACAGGTAGACAATCAAGTCCTCCTTATATAGCAATAGCACTTAGACCAGGGGTCAGCAACCTGCCACTCTGGAGCTGCATGGGGCTCTTTTCATCCCTCTGCTGTGGCTCCCTGTCACTCAAAATATGTGTCACAACTGCCAATGGGCGACACCTGCTGGCACACAATTTATTGAGCTTTTCAACCCCCAGTAGGTTTTGTGGCTCCCGGTGTTTTCTGATCTGTGGGAAATGGATCCAAATGGCTCTTTGAGTGTTTAAGGTTGCCGACTCCTGACTTAGACTTATATACCGCTTCACAGTGCTTTTTACAGCCCTCTCTAAGCTGTTTACAGAGTCAGCCTTTTGCCCCCAACAGTCTGGGTCCTCATTTTACCCACCTCAGAAGGATGGAAGGCTGAGTCAACCTTGAGCCTGGTGAGATTCGAACTGCCAAATTGCAGGCAGCTGGCAGTCAGCAGAAGGAGCCTGCAGTATTGCAATCTGACCACTGCGCCAACGCAGCTTTATAGAGGACAGTGCTTCTCAACCT